GAGTGGGCTTGGATTCGACCTTTCGTACAGTAAGCTAGGCCAAAAAATTCAGCAATCCTTACCGGGATTGGTGTATGCGGATGATATTGTACTCATGGCTAACAGCAGGAGAGAGTTGCAGGAATTAATGAGCATCTGTGGTAAGGAAGGAGGGGAATTAGGTTTAGAATTCAGTAGTGAAAAATCAGCAGTCATGATTTTTAACGAGGATGAAGTTGAGAGGCTGAAGATACAGAGAGCTAGTAAATACAAGTATCTAGGAGTATGGATATGTGACGGTGCAGAATATCTCAGTGAGCATGAAAAGTATATAATAGGTAAGGGCAACAGAAATGCAGCTGTAACGAAAAATAGAGCACTTTGGAATTACAACAGGGATGAGGTGGTGAGATAGATTTGGAAAGGGGTCATGGTGCCTGGCTTGACTTTTGGAAACGCAGTGCTATGCATGAAATCCGCAGTGCATGCAAGACTAGAAATAAAACAGCGCGGAGTAGGTGGGCTGGCTTTGGGGGCACATTGCAAAACGCCAAACCAGGGAGTACAAGGAGACATGGGATGGGCGTCTTTTGAGAGCAGGGAAGCGGTGAGCAAGATAGAATTTGAGGATCGGTTGAGGCAAATGGATGGGGACCAATGGGCACGAAAGGTTTTCAGTTATTTATACATGAGTAGCATATACACAAAGTGGAGACAGCGCACTAGGAAATTAAGAGGAAAGTTTTTAGGCTAGACGAATGCAGACAAAGACGGCTCTGGAAAGCTACAGATTAAACAAAACCGTTATTGCCAAAGAAAGCATTTATGACAATTCTAGGGGAAGCTCATTGTTGTTTGAGGCAAGGATGGGTGTTCTGCAAACCAGAACATACAGAGCAAGGTGCCAGGAAATGGATACAGTGTGCACTGCTTGTGGAGAGGAGGACGAGACGGCTGAGCACTTGATACTCTACTGTAAAGGGCTTCACCCTATGCCTGCCGAAGACAACATGTATTTAATAGTCATTGGGTTTTAGAGATAGCGAAGGGAGAGTGGATTTCAAGACTGTAGAGATTACCAAGCAAAGGTTAAGTCAATGGTGGCAGGAAGCGAGAGAAAACTGGGTATTTTCTTATCCATCCATCCATCCATCCATCCAGGAGGATCCGACCGGCTCCGAGCGTTCCGAAGGCCTTCGGCAAGAAGCTTTGTCTTGCGGTTTTGCAGTTTCGCGATATGGCAGCGCGAAATGGCTCCCATTCTGGACTGATCTTTACCCCGTGTTTGCTGTCGTTCGTGACCAATGAAGTGTCATGACGAATTAGTGCTTAATCACGCAGCAAATGCAATGAGAGCCACTCTGGCTGCCTGCTGCATACAGCCTATCCAGAACATGCTTTAGTCGCGCCCTGAACACGGAGTGCGGCATGAGCGCTCGACCAGCTCACTGCCCCTCCTCTAGTTCACGGCAACTCAAGCAACCAAGGACGTCATGTGGGAGGTTATTTTTTGCTCGTTTTAGTAATTTTAGTTTGCCTATAACTTTTAAAATAAAGGGCATTTTGAGAAAAGAAAAGTTTCACTAAGTTACTACGTTCAGTGCGCGAAGGTTCGGTGCAAATTAAAAACCAGTAAAAAAAGTCCTTGCAGTGCCCCTTTAAAGGAGCTGTGCAACGATATTCAATCGGAATGTTTTTCTCTCTACACGAGCTTACTGGCACACCTGGGACTCAAGGATACTCACACGCAACGCCATTGGCCAAGAAACTCCTTTGTTGCGGTGTAATTTCAAGGACAAAAGCGATCATTTTCATTCAATCTCTCCTTTGCAAAATTTCATGACGTAACTCGGGGATCGCGGTACACCCAAGTGACGATATTTGAATGCGGTTCATAGATTGGACCCGAGCATTGCGTGGGCACTCGACTTGGGCTCGTGACAATTGCTAGCTCGAGAAGCATTCGGGTTGTGACCCGTGTCCAATCGCTGCAACGACGACAACAGCCGAGCCATAACAATGTCTGGAACTCAGCGCGTGTCCTACGCTTTGCCAACCCCAGCGCGTGGCTATGATCTACATTGGCGGCATATAATCGGCTCCAGATCACGTGGCCGCTTGTTCTGGCTGCGAGTTGAGGGGGTGAACGCTGCTCGTTTTTCTTTAATTTTTTTTCTGGGACTCCTATTGCGTGGGGTGAAAAACGAACGCGTGTTTCATGGGTCATTAACGTCAGGGATCTGTTCTAAGCGGTATTTGCGCAAAGTACAAAAATTGTTGCATCGCTCCTTTAAGCACTTATGAGTTGTGAATTTGAAACCATGAATGTCGTTTTTCCTCTCTCAGTTTAGTTCGTCTGCGGCGTAGTGGCGTGGTCGGCCACGTTTCGCTACTGGCGAGGTAGTGGCCGGCGACCGAGCGCGCTTTCTCGTGAAGTTGCCGCGCCGCGCTGAGCTCAACCGTGCAGCCTCTCCAGAGTTTGCCAGAGCGGGCTGTGCGGTCAGGCCCGCACTTCTTACCGGCGACCGGGCCGCTGAGCACGCTGCACCGCCATGGAGAGGGCTTCTCTGGTGGCGTCACCTTGGGACTACGCCGCGCGAGAGCCAATGGGTGCCTTGTTCCTTGAAACTATGATGCGCGCCAGCCAATGGGAGCCTATCTATCAGATCGCGGCTTCGCTTCATTGGGACAAGGGAGTTTAGGTGCCGTTTGGCGTGACTTTAAAAGCTGATGACGTCGGTTCGCTCCATGGGACCCCCAGTTAATGCTTTCGCATTAAAAAAATGCTTACCTCGGTACATCGACGGGCCCCGAATCTCCGATGACTGGATTGAAGGTTCGAAGATGATGTCAACAGTTCCGAGTGTGCTCTTTTCTCAAACATCGGCGGGCTCCAAATCTCCGATGACTGGATTGAAGACTCAAAGATGATGTCACCAGTTCCGAGTGTGTTCTTTTCTCAGTCACAAGCACGCACAATGATTCAGTATATTGCACAAGAACCGCCAGCTGGTTAGACGTTCGACCACAAAAGTCACCCGCTGCAGGTGGCACCTGACAAGTGGCAGGTTGCCACCAAAATAAAGAGTCCCTAAGGGTGCTGTTTAATTAGAATTGATAAACTCGGAGTACTCAGCTCAGGGACACGTGTAGGTATGTTCCATGCCAGTGGGGGTGAGAAAAAGGAAGTGCCGAGTCATTCGTTCCTGCATCTGATTAGCATCCGACCAGGTTCACTGGAATTCCAACATATCCGCGTCTCAGAAACTTAACCAGTCGTGAAAATGTGCAAGATTTTGCTTCCAGGCGAGTTTTCCCCTGACGGCTAGAGAGACGGCGTCGACGCAGCCACGCAGCATCCAAACCAAAGAACGTTGGTCCAAATCGGTGGCTCCTACGCTTCCTGTGACGCCATTTCCGCCCGCTACATTTGAGCCTAAGTTATTAAATAAGCACAGTTACGGACTGCTCATGGACGCTCCTTGCACGGGCGGACACCATGACGTCGCACTTTTCACGCCATCTGATTGGTCCCATCAGCTCGTAACGTAAGCTGCGTCCGGACCAACGTTGGTCCGGACTAAGGTGAAACAGCTCGGACTTGTGCGGGCTACCAATTTTGTCATGCGCTGTTCACGACAAGGCCTTCTCACGACATCATCGTTATGCGGAGCGCAAGTTTGTCTGCTTGTGCAGGGGTTGTTATGACGTCAGAACGCCGAGCTCTGGTTGGATAGTGGCAACGTCTCCTCGCCGTCGAAACTTGGGCCGCTGGCGTCCATCGACACCGAGCTAAATACGACAACAGCGCCACTCTTTATCATTTGTCTGTACTGTGGTCACCTTGAGCTTTTAGAAAGCATGTTTTTTGCGTAAAAACAAACGGAACAGATTCTTTTTGTATGAAATTTATTGGAGTTTAGTACCAAATGATGGGCGCGTGATGTTTTTAAAATCTTTAGGTTGCAGGGTTTTGCGGCACAATTAATATTGTTTTTATACAACCATGCCTCAGTGGTGCTTTCAGGTAGCGCGTCCCGACCTAGGTGCATTTTAACTTCGGTAGTAGGTCGCGGCGCGTCCGCTGGGGAGACGGGGTTTGCACCCCTGTAACCTCTTCTGCTGTATCTGTTTCGGCTCCAAAATGGCCGATTAAAGTCAAAATCGCAGTAACGTACAATTCCTCAAGTGGTCGCTGCGGGAGAAATGGCGGCGTTGTGTTCGTCATTAGCTCGGTTTTTGAGGACAGATCGGGGCCACTTTTTCAAATAGGTCTCTATGGCAGTTTCCCAACTGAGTGTTTTAGTAACGTTGGATAGTGGACGTAGACCTCAAAGCAAGCTGCCTTGAGGCCTACCCACTATCCTTCATTCAGGGCCAATCAGAGCCCGGCGTTCTGACGTCACCGGAACCCCTACGCAAGAAGCAGACGAACTTGCGCTCCGCATTGTAAGACGCGCTCGTTGGACGAGCTGGCGACGATGCTGACACGGGCTAGGCGGCACTGCGCGAACCCACCAATGATGACGATTGGAGCGGAAGACAGCAGGCTCGTCTTCTAGGTAGTATTGGTTGACGACAGTCGATCCAATAAAGGGCGTCTCCATCCTCCTTCACAGGCTAAGGGCCAACCCAAACAGAACGCATTCTCAATATTTACGCGCGTTTCAGCGGGCGTAATCACGGCATTTGGCGGGCGTTTTTTTAACAGAAGGGAAGAGGAAGGTAGCTAAGCGAGCGCCTATCCAGAGATCTGCCCGTGCCTAGATCTGGGGACAACGCCAGCGTAGGGAAAACCGCCCGTAGGGAATCCGTTCGGGTGGTGGTGATGATGATGATAATTATGTCATATAACACCTGAGACTGTGGTCGAAGAAATTGAAAACATTTTAGTAGAAAGATCGGACACAAAAGGGACGTCTCAAACCCAGCTAACTGGTTTATTTCTCGACCATCCTATATAATGATAGCTTCATGAATGACTTGCCCACTGGCGCCACACTGGCCTCGCTGTTTTCGACGGTTCTCAGGTTGCTGGGGCGGCTTGTTTGAACTGTTTGGACCACAGGTTTGAACTGTTTCAACGGGAATCATGGCAAATCCACTTGGAGGCTTATTTAAACCAAAGTCCCGCTGGCGGGAAAAGATAACGGACGGAGCAGCACTGCGTGGCCTCGCAATCCCAGCGACCCGACGAGCTCGCGAAGTGGTGCTTGGAAAACTACCCTCCCAAAGCCGACGACGCGCACTCGCACGTACATGCGCAAGCGATCACCTCTGTGGACAGCGAAGAAACATCGTCGCACTGTGACAACTTTGTTGGCGTTCGTTTCATAAAACCCGTTCTATAAGGTATGTGTTCAATCTTCATTATTTTACCTGCGCGGTAGAACCGGCCAATATCTGAAAGCTAAATCAGCCTGCGCGTTAAAATCGTGAAAACACGGCAAAGCGAATCTGCTGCGTCCTCAACCCCTTTTACCGTGACACTGGATGTCTTAGCAAAGTCTTGTGTGTTTATCGCATCATAAATGCAAATGTGCCGTGTCCGCAATCCGCGGTATCAGTTCCCGTTTTATGTGGTTTGTAGCGGATAGCCCAGTGGCTTATCGCGTTTTTTTAAATAAATTTTGCTGTCGTATTCCCAAGGATAGCCCACCCCATGTTTTTCCCAATTTATCTCTTCATTTTGGGTGGGCATCCTTACGGGATTTTACGGTAGTTTTGCTTTGTCCCATGCATAAGTCAATGTCCTTTCCACTTTTCAGGAGCTTGTGTCCACCCTGAAAGGCCTGACGAGCCACGTGCTCGTATTCAAGCTGGTGCCACGAGGTGGGCCTTTCGGGCATGCCAGGGAGGATGAGAGGCTGTCCCTGAACCGCCTACTAGTACGGAAGGTGTTGCCCTCGGCGTTACCATCGTGAATGTCGACGTAAGTACATGGAACTTTCACCCCTGGTGCACTGTCCTTTTGAGTTACATGTGACATGCCCCTTGTGACGAGATGTTATCTTCCGTGTTATTGGTAGCCAGGCATTCATGATGCCTCTGGAATGCTGTTCATTGAGTAACAAGGTTGGGCAGATATAACCTAAAAAGCATTTGAAATGACGAATACTGGAATACACAGCAGTGACAGCTAAAGTACTGATACTAAAATACATTTATAAAAAGAGCATTGCAAAACAACTCAAATATGTGTGACCAAAAAAATAGGTGACAAGGTATCTTTAAATACGTTTTATTTGAAGGAGAAATCCTGATACTGAAATATGGGGGGCAGTCAGTTCATTGAACGACGTTTCATTGGCAGTTCATTTCATCAACAGTTTGTTACATCGACAGCTCAGATAAGCTTTTTTTCTGTAGTGACTCCCCGCAGAATGTTGCCGCTAAGCAGCTTGAGTGGGTGGCCCCACTGATCTCTACTATAGGGGGTATTCACTGGACGCCATATTTGAGGTAACTGCTCACAGCGCATGCCCGGAAAGAGTATCCGGTCAGCTCTCGGGCAACCGCACGAGAAGAGGGGAAAAAGAAATCCTCTTATCACCGGGACTCTCCTTCGTGGGTCCCAGGCTTCCCCAAACGTCGCTATTCTCCCTCTAGAAGATTATAGAAGATTAACTTGCCACTCAAAATTCGTACAAAAGCATCTTTCCCCTCTCTCTCTACCCCCGTGGTCAGGAAGCAGCAGCGAGCTCAGCTATGACGGCCAGTGAATACTCCCTATAGGGGGCTGGATGGCGCTTAGCTGCTGTCCGAGCCTGGCGCAAGTGAAGCCACCGGAAGTTTGATTCTTGTCCCGAAAGTCGGGCGTGCGCTGGTCTTCCTAGTGCATTCAGTCGATATTTTGGACCATGCTTTTTTGTGTCTTTGATTGGGTTTTAATACTCCCGTTCTGGATTAAATTCCGAGAATCAGGCATTTGAACTTGAGACATATTCACAACTTTATCAACTAGAATCTCAAAATGTTTACATTGAATGGCTTCCCATGATGCTTCTCGGGTCTGCATGCGCTCTTAATGCGCAACAAGCAGGCTCTCTTGAGGGAACAAGCGAAAATCCAGCGCCCTCGACGCTTTTCGAACCAGCACTCGGAAGGGTTACAAAGCCTGCCAAGCGCTCACTTCTGGGACAAGCCGCTCACCTCTGGTGGCTTCATACTTGTTTGCTCAATGCACCATCCAGCCCCCCATAGTGGAGATCAGTGGGTGGGCCAGGTATGTTAATATTTCTGTAGTGAGCCGTCACAGACGGTCGCTGCGAAATGACGTAGACGGGCAGGCCGGGTAAGTTAATGCGTGCCCCAGTGACATGCACAACGAAACATCAGAACACCGTACAATTAGCGGAACGATTGTCGATGGCTTGTCAGTGTCGACGAAATGTATGTCAATATGTCGTTTGATTAAAAGTTGTCGATGAGATGTCTGTCAATGAAACAAAACAGATCCCAAAATGTAGGTTGCCACAGTAGCGGGGTTTGCTGTAAAATGAAGCAAAAAATAATAGTCTGGGTGCAGCGAGCTTCATATTTTGTCACAGGTGTGTTGCAGTGGTGGATGTTACCATGTGAAAGTTAAAGGCACTGATTTGTTTGTGCGAAAAATCGGAAGAATATATGCAAGATTTTCAGTTATCGGTCGAGGGTTGTGTTTCGTTCTCATGTTGAGAGATGGCACAGCACATCACGGAAAGTAGACCGCACTGTGGAGCAACGGGTCTATGGCAGGGTGTCTCGACCCCAATTGCGTTTTTCTGTTGTGGCTTTCATGTCTGCGTGCATGGCTATATTGTCACAAATAACAAATGGTGAGGCGGCAAATAACTGACAAAACCAAACGTTTAACGGGGCAAACTTGTGCCCAAAACAATATAGAGAAAGGCTAGCGTCGCAGGCGTCGAAGCAGCAGGATTGAGCGCTAGGAAGAGACTGACTTCGCTCGCCATGCGGAGTTCCTTTTGTAGTCGCGTGGGCCTCTGGAACATTCGGCCTAGACATTTCGGTGCGTAGAACATTCGTAGCTTGATCAGAAAAGAAATTTCTCGAATTTGCGAGAACGCCAAGTAGAAAGAATAAATAAAAGAACATTTCGCTGCCTGGAATCAAACCCAAATCTTCTGCGCTACAATCAAGTGCAGTAACCATTTGGCCATGTACACGCTCGCTCAGCGACGTGCGTGGCAATACTAGAAGAAAGCTGTGTTACAGCAAGATTATCTTCAGCCTCGTCGGACTCGCCATCACGGGTTTTTCTAATTGCAGCACGTTGCTCCATCTCCCAACAGAAGCACCAAACACTGCTTTCGGCCATCTGCGTCCTGACGCAGGTTGCTGATGCTTTGCAAAAACAAAGCTGCACCTTTCGATTCCACAAGGTAACACCCATCACTAATGTAGTTTGACAGAACCTTCAAGCTTGCCTTGTGCAGGTGTTACTCTTTCCAGAGAATTCTACCGCTAGCTCCGCTACTGGTATCACATTATGCATACTTTGAGATATTCTAAATGTCATATTCTGTGTTATTGACAACCAGGTATTCATGATACCAAGAAAGATCACTCCAGCCATTTATATTACTTTTTACATATAGTATGCAAGCAACACAGACCAAAAGAACAATTGCTACACTCACTTGCATTTGTGGATGAGCTTTTCAAATGATGTCCAATCAGTTAGCACCTGTCGATTTGGGCGGAGGGCCGTGGAGCATTATGTTAGCGCCTGTAAATACGCTCTCGACAGTTGCCGATAAAAATGGTGTTCTGTGGTTTGTTTGTCTTCTAATCTTTGTCCATGCTTTACGCATTGCTTCTTTTACTATGGTCAACCAGCTTGCACAATTGTCAATGTTAACTTCATCTCCACATCAGTTTTTGGTCCTCCTAAATTATCTTGAGGTGTCTCCTTGCTCTGATATGGTGAGGTTGCCTTTTCAGTAATGATCTTGTGACGTCACGATGGAAGGAATCGCTGTTCTCTTATCTATTGATAGTATTTGAAAGCATAAACTCTGCTCCCCTCCATCGATATGGCACGAAAGTGCAGAGCACACCTGTAAAGCTTGTGCTTGCAGTGCCTTAGATGTTCAGAATCTAGATGAAGTTTCATGGAAAACATTTGTTATTCTTTTAAAATAGAAAATAGCATCTCCTGTTGATTAACCTTATAATGCTTTGCATTTTTAAGCAGACCTTATATGAAACAGTTTCTTATATTTATTATTCTATCATAAAGATAATTCACACTGTTTTTATTCACTGACCTTGTTGCAAACCTTGCCAAGGAACAAAACAGTATGTGATGAGGTGCACTCGTCATAAACCACAAAATGGCAGATAACTCATGGCAAGCTGCGCTTATCATAAGCCGTTAAGATTTTGCGTAATCAATTAATTATAACCTGAGGGTCCTCATGTACAAAGACAGAATGTTCTGATCAGATCCTGGTCTGCAAGGTAACAAAGCCTCGGTGGCCTCTTCACAACAGTCTTTACTCATCTAAAGTGAAAAAAAAGGCTTTATTTTTAGTTTCCAGTTTATTGATTAATTGAAAACATTAAGGAGCTACATTGAGTTTTGATTGTACTTTTATACCACAAACGCACCCAAAATGAATTTTACTTAGTAAATATAAATAACCTATAACTAGGCCGTATATCCTCCGGTGTTTATTTATGAGAAAAATCGGCGGATGTTTTTCATTGTTTATTTATTTTTCAAACATTGGTGTCTTTTGACCAGAGTTGGGCCAAAGTACTTAATGTACTTGGGAATACAAATGCTGGGATACATCAAAATAGCTAAAATAGTGATACTTATATATATCTGTAAAAATGTATTGTGATATGCATCGGAAATACATTTTAACAAGGAGCAAAATGTATTTGGAAATACAAATGCAGGAATACCTCTTAGAGATGGCAGAAATACAGATACTGAAATACATTTTTCCAATTTGCTTGAGGTGCCAACTGTCATATCATAGGCAACAAATTACGGTAGTCAGGAGGTGCAATGAAAATCATTCTTGCTTTGTCTGTTGTTTTACACTGAAGCGATACAAACGAAAGACATGCAAGTGCCAAACTCGGTTACACTTGAGGAGCAGGAGCTTCTCAAATAGCCCACCTGTGAGCCATTGCCCATTCAAACGCAACGTCATGTTGGCAAAAAAAAAAAAAAAAAAATAGCTGCTCAACAGTTGGTTTATATTAAATCAAAGAAACATTACTTTCACAGCTGGGAACCACATTTCTTCACTAAGAAATGCGCCGCTCACAGCACATTTCTTATCTTCGCAGAATAGAAAGAGGTCGCATAGACAAATATTTCTGGGAATTGGAATGAACGTTGGTCAGCATAGTAACAATGCCCCAGCGTCCCCTTAAAAAAAAAAAAAAAAAAAAAAGTCAAGATTTTTTTTTGGGGGGGGGGGGGGGGGGGGGGCAGAAGCATGGTGGAAAACATTCTTCAGTTTTGCAGAATAAAGAAGGGGGTTGCTAAGATCCGACGCAAATAGTTCCGAACAAACCTAGGTTCGCATGATAGCAAATGCACAGCATACCCCTCATAACGCCCTCTGGCCTTCTCTAGCAAAACAAAAAAAGTTGTCATCTTCTTTATCCAGAGGTGGGGGTTATTTCTCAAGAAATGTAACGAAATACATCCCATCTTGATTGTATTGCGGTACTGAGAAACATCCCAAATGCATTTCGATACAGAAGTACAGATAGTGGTGAAAAAAAAAGTGTTGCAATACAGAACTACAGACACTAAATGTATTTCTGAAATACTATTGCAATACATTTGTATTGCGATACTGCACAACCCTGCTTTCGACTTGTTGTATGATGTAGACGCTAAAAACAGCGATGATCGGTGAAAAAAAAAATTGGTTTGGGACAAGTTGCTTTTTTATCTGCCGTCCTCTGACATGAACCAACAAGGGCGTTGTGACTGTTGGTAGTAACCGTCTAACCCACCTCTCGGGCCCTTGTGCTCCAAGGTCAGCGATCCCACTGATTGGAGACCCCAGTTTGCTTAATTCTTGGTAGCAAAACAGGCTCAGCAAATGCCTAGAATTAGGGGTTTCAACCAAAATAGTAATCGCCTAGCGCCAAATCGTCCCCAAAAACGGTGTTTTTTTGTTATAACCGATTTTGCATTTTCGTCATCGGCTGATGTTTCTCAGTATTTTTAGGTTAAAACTGGAAAGTCACAACCTACCGATAACTTGGGTTCTGTGTTTTCTGAGTATTTTTTTTCTCGAATTTGAGGGTACTTGTTTTTTTTGGGGGGGGTGGTAATTTTTTGTGCAGATTCTGTGTTTTTTGTGTAAATTGGTTATGACTTCAACCAATTTACACAAAAACACAGAATCTTTGGAAAAAATTAAACATCGAAAAAGAAATACCCCCGAATTCGAGTAAAAAAAGTTAACTCCGAAAACACTGAACAAGATCAGCGTTTTCGGTTTTTATTATTTTTTTTTTTTGAATTCGGCATACATTTATTGGTTTTTATTTCGAAATCCAATATTTGGTTTTTATCAGTTAATATACGCCATAAAATTTATCTTTTTTCTTTTTCAGTGAAATGTATTCTATTACACCTGTTCTTTTATAAGCACTCAGCGGTGGATACAGTTGTAGACAGGTCAAAAAAGCATGTGTTTAGGTCAGTAAGTTCCTTGAAAGTTCGAAAATCCAAAAAAATAGGTAATTATGTCAGGAATATAACAAGATAGATTAAAAAAAGAGTATACCATTTGTGAAAGTAACATGTATAGAAGGCAGTTTTAAACTCTGACAGAGTTTGAAACTGCCTATATGCATTGGGAAGTTCTGAAACATTTTTGATAAGAAACTATTCAAATCACTTCTTAAAATCACAGTGAACTTGGCACACGAGGACCGGTCCCCAAGGAGAACAGAAATTTAACTCAGAAGGCGAGCCCGAGTACTGCACCTTGATGTCTGTGTTTACAGTTAGATCCTCCCCTGACTAAACGAAGGTGAACCCCAATAATAAGCAACCAGCCCCATAAAACATTTGCAATGAGTTAACAACCCCCACTCCCTGCACGTACACACCCACACACGAAAAAATATAGCTGCACAATTAGATCTAAAATACTGACCCCTACCTAAACCTATAATGTTCATTGGCTGCTTCCAAGTTAGACATGTGTGTCCTGTGTGGTTCCAAGGAGTGGTCACAACCCAGCTTTGTTTTATGCTATGAATTAATTCATTCGCTGATGTTTCAGTACCTCTTCTCAACCGAGGCATCATGGTCAACCTCGACAAGCTGGCTACCGACCAGTACCACGTGTGCCGTGTCCGCGGCATCCAGCGTCTTGCATTTGCGCTCGGCAAGGCACTCGCAAAACTTTATGGTAATTCTATCTTTGGTGGGTGCTGTGCCCCATTCTAACCTTTCGAAGTCCACAGGTGTTTAAGATGTGGAGCCTGTGGCCAGTGGGGAGGTGTATGTCTCCAATTTGCCGGACCCTAGCAGTAGCTAAGTTACCGCCGAATTCACAAACCTCATTTCAATTGAGGCGCCCCTCCACTTCCTCAAGGAAGGTGTGAGGGCCGGTGCTGGGGGGGGGGGGGGGGGGCCAGTCGCGACGACAAATAGGCGGCCTAGGCTGCTTAGCCGTCCTCGCGATTGGCCAGTGCCGTCCCTCGTGCCTTCCTTGAGGAAGTGGGGGGGGTGCCTCAATTGGAATAAAGGTTTGTGAATTCGGCAGTTAGTGTCTCTTTTCCCCTATGTGCAATCCCAGCCATTATGAGCTAGAATGAAGAGCTTTCCTACAAGAACCTTTCTAATCCGTTATTTCAAAGTTTGTTTATTTCTGAAGAGCATCTCAGTGCCTGCATTTTGATGTGTCATAATACTCTACTCTAAGATCTCAAAAGGTAGTCCACCCCTATTTTTGGCTTGATTTGCTTTACTTTTTAAACACCGAAAGATAGACTACTTCTAGTAATAGTAGTGTTGGGATCAGTGATGGCCTCGACACAAATGCGGCTAGTTAGCTGTGGTGGGATACAAGTGAATGTTGCTGATTGGGAAGTACATACCTCGGGATTTTATGGTATGTGCCAAATAGCTTTAAAAATGAAGGGATCTGCAGAGATGCTTGAAAAATCGTCACTTTTCTCGTGGTAAGGAACGAATTCAGGGCCATAGAAGAACTGCAACAAATTGTGTAGTTGGGCTAGTTGGTTGGTCATTTTGAAATGGTATCTGTCTGCTTCTTTTTATGTTTACTTACTGTACCATGCAGAAGTAAAATTTTCAGTCGTAAGTGAGCGCTGTGTCTGTGTTCTCTTCGCCTTCTTCAGCCATAGGGGGGCTCACACACCATTGGTTGGGTGGCTTGCAAACCATGTCGCTGATTTCCATTGTTGATGTGCACTTTTTCCCATAAAAAGAAACAAAATCAATCAAAG